AATCAACTAAAAATATTAACTGGATCAAAAGTTATTTAAGTTGTCAGTGAGTGGTGGGCCACCCTGTATATATATATATTAAATTAACTTTTGAAAAAGTTAATTTTTCGGAACAAGTTGTCATTTTGAATTCCCCCTATGAGCAGGTAAAGGGTCAGATTTATAAAAAAATTATACCGTGTAATAGGTATAGACATTATGCATCTATAAAAAAAAATAATATTGATTTGGTCATTTTTTTTATTTAACAGTTTTATCGGTTTTTGGCATTTAAAAACGTTATAAAAACTTTTTCAGGCCTAGTTTGAATGATTAAATTTAACATATTTACTTACTAATGGAAGTGTACCTGATATTGGTAGGTTGATACCACCAACAAGAATTACATTATTAGGTCTAGGATAATGTTTTTCTACTATTTCATGTGAATTGACAAATATTATTGAAGGTTTTACATTATCGACAGCTGGCTCATAAAGCCAATATAGCAATCGAATTAGTGCCTGATTGTAAATGTTATCTATTCGCTCAGAAAACGAAGTAGGTGATCTGTAACGAGCAAAAAGTCTGGCAATGTATGATGGATGGGTAAAAGTTCCCAACACTTGATCGTCCATCCATGATCCCATAGGTGTTGGAGATATGTACACCAACGGTAAGTCTAAGACTCTAGATAAGTGTGATACACATTCCGATGAGATGAGTTCAACAAGAAACAAGTCGTATTTACTGGTTAATGGTAACTTATCTATTTCAGTACAAACTAACGCATTATTAGCTTTTGTGACCATCGGAATATATTGCCAAACATCAATCAAATTTATGATATCCGTTTTGAAATCTATGTCTCTTAAGAGTGGTATATTTAATCGCAAATCAATTTCAGTATAATTAGCATTATCATTAAAACTAGACGATGCAAAAGGCGTGAAAACGGTTACGTTGTGACCTCCATTTTTTACCAAATTAAGAAGTAATGTACGCATGAATTTCCAATGACTCAAGACTGGTAATGGTTCAACTGCCAATATATTAGCTCCTTTACAAAATGATGAAATACTCATCAAGGTAACTAGGGCATATTTATATATTAATTTTGATAGTAACATAGTGGCTAAAACTTTGGTTTCTTCAATCCTATAACATTAATATATAAACACAACTATTATCTTTATAACAGGAAAACAAAAGAAAAAAACCCAACCCAGCACAGGGGGGTCGCAGCATAGTGGTGACGTGGCATAGTTGGATCAAGTAAATGATATCTGACAGTGATTAAAAT